CGAGTGCAGTTTGCGTCAATCAGTTTGTGCGTTGTTGTGCAAGTTTTTTTATGCGTTTGAGTGCGTCGAACGCGCAAGGAGGAGTTGTTAAATACGTTTGCAAAAAAACAAAGAAAAAAAAAAAGAAATAAATAAATAAAAGTCATAAATTTTATACAAACTATTTACAGATATGCGTTTTCTGGTATTTAGACTAATAAAAAAATAAGTTTTTTTGGAAAGCGTTTTTGTTTTGCTAAACAAAAAAAAAAAATACCTGAATCCATAACCGAAGACGTCTTCGTTGAAACTAAACAATCGATCTTTGTTGCTGCATGCAAATCGTTAAAGTTATCAAATCAAAAATTATAGATTTTTTTTTTGTATTCACAAGTGAGTAAGCGAGATGTGCGAAAATGCAAGTGAATGATATGTATGTACATATGTAGGTACAATACGTACATATGTTTATAAAAAGAGAAGATCGAGAGGAGAAAATAACGTCTTTTTAATAGGTCATATTTTTTTTATTATTCAAATGCTATTCTATTCTACTACATATAGATAGTCATGGATGTATGAATTTATGGGTAGCTAGCTTTAGATAATTAAAAAAGCAATTATAATTATAATTTGTAGGTATGTATTTAAAACTCTCTTAAATGTTTTAGGCTAACATTTCTAACATTTTAATGGGCCACCAGGAAATATCGCTAACCCCCAAATTATATTCACTCTAATAATACAGTAGATGATTAGTTGTATAAGCCTTTACCCTATCCCCATTTATAATTTAAAACTCTGTGACCCCCTCTGCTCTACTGTTATAAAAGACCTAAGACATTCCTCTGTGAAATTTACAGTGCTATTGAATACCTACTAAGTGGCAAAATTGGTACAAGAAAAAATCACAATTTAACTAAAATAATGATTTCTTCTCTATAAGGATTGATTTTAGTTGAATTACGAAGTGCGTTGCTCCGTCTACCTCCTTGGACATCGCGCGAGCTTTCGCACACATCGCGAATCTACTTCGATGGCGTTGAACATAAGATCCATAAATCGCACAAGCATGTGGATTTTGTGTTGGAAATTCCCTTAATCCCACATGGACCTGTGGCCTTAAGGCTTTTGCTTTTGAATGCTCCCACAATGTTTGATTAGCTGTTAGTAATTTTTCCAGATATCTAAGTAGGTATGTAAACAAGCTTGCATGAGAGTAACGGCAATGTTTTGCGTAGCTTTTCAAAAAAAATTTAAGTGGTTGAAAAAATTCATACAAATGAACGTATTTTGTCAGAGTCAGAGGATTGAGCTTTTGCCCAAAATGCGATGTAAGTTGATAGCCTATTCGTGTGATGGGAGAATATTGGGCTTTGTCCTAAACTTGACAAACATTTTTTTTTATGTTTGTTAATTAAATGTCCTATTAAGTTTGTATGTATTGCGCCAATAGAGGAACTGCTAAATAAAGTTTCGTCCAATTTTTTTTTTTTAATTTTTGTACCATTAGGCCACAATAAAAAAATTGTACAAATGCAGCAATCGTGTGAAGCGGCCTTATAGCTTTCTAAAGCAATTTTTTTATGAGTAAGACTATAAATATTTGTGATTTTTGCCTATTTTAAATGTTGAATCGAAAGATCGGTTTAACTTTCAAGTCTTTCTACTACACATTTTTTCAATATCTGTTTCGAAAATTCGCGATATCTTGTGTTTTTTTTTTTAAGTAAAATATACAAAAATTACAGCACGTGAGTGAAACAATATCAAGCGATACACTGATAAGAAAACTGGAAGTAGTTTTGGTTAGGTTTGAGTAGAAAAGGTGTGACAGTTCCAATTGACACGTTTTCATAAAATTTTTCTCGGAAAGGCAGTGAGTTAAAGCTGTGACACGAAATTCTTTGAAATAGCATAGACAATGTTTAGAAGATAGTTCCAAGCGATTTGAGTGGCATGATGGAGTTGTTACTTTTTTATTTTTTTTTAATATAAATAGGCATCTATGCATTCCTTTTACCTCTTCCATTTCATAACCTTCACAGGTTTTCCGATTTGCAAATCATCTTCTTCGTATTTAAGCATTATTAAAAGTTTTGTTTTGAGACATGGAAATTAAAAATAACCATTGTTAATTCAGACGCCAGACACACAATCAATTATATTGCGAATAATATACAAGTTAAATTTGTAAATGTTTAGAAAAAATATACAAAACATTCAAATGCATTTAGTGTGCATTCAACGTACCATTTGCGATTTGTATCTTTGTTATACATTTTGGGTTGGTTGGGAGTTTTCAGTTTGTGTGATTTTGGTATTTTAGAGTTTGGTTTTAGTTGGTGGTGGTGGCACGGAGATATCGGAATACGGTTTAGTCTTTGCTGTCAATATAAGTTGCACTAGAAGTATGTATACTTATAATATTGCATCTACATATGTATGTATGTGTGGAAAAGTGACATCTTGGTCGTATGTTTGTATGCGTATCGGTACTTACATATTTGCGGCAAGGACTAAGCTGTATTCTGAAATCTTTTTTTTTATTTTTGTTGTTTTTTTAAAAGGCTTAGAATTATGCTAGAAATCAATATGTATTTGATACAAAAGTGGCAAACAGGTAAATAACAAGCAAGCATAGCAAGAGCAACACATAAAGCATATATGTAATTAAGCGTAATGATATAAAAAAAAAAATAATATAAAAGAAAAATATTAAGAGAAGGCAGGCGGGTAGTATTTTACTAATAACAACACAATTTAGGGCCTCAAGACAAGTATAAAAGTGTTTTGATCTATCAGAATTTTTGACAGTGGGTTAATGTTTCCCTTTTTTGGTTACAGGCTCTCCAATTATTATACACGTACATTAGGGTGCGCGCGCGTTAATTTTCAACTTTGACCCACAAAGTAAGGCTCTCCCTCGATAGGTTCATTTGGTCATAAAAATATGCTGTGTGGAAAATTATCAAAGTCCGATAATGGAAAAATGTGCCTCAAATACAGAAAGTTACGCTTATACGTTATACTTATTTGGGATGAACGTGCAAAAATCCATTGAGTGATACGAAACAAATAAGCTATTTTTACTGTTTTTCCAATTTTTTGAAAAATTTAATGAATTATATAACTTTAGGGCTCTTTAGGCACGTCTCTGCGTTATCCGATTTTGAAAATTTTTCGCAGTGCACGAACGAGCTTATCCGGGAGGAGATTTGCTTTGTAGCTTACAAAAAATTTTTCTCGATACAATAAGTCGCGATAGAAATTTGAAAGTAATAAATGTTATGCCATGGCCATATGTAAAAAAAAGTAGTCAAATATGTATATTGAATCTTTAAAATACTACATAACCAGTATACATAAGTAACTCAAAATGCGGTCTGCGTAATTCATGAAGCAAAACTAATTATCTAGCAGGGTAAGAATTACTATAAATTATCGCATAGAAAAAGTGTGAAAAATTTCACAAAACTGTTTAGATTGGATATCGAAATTAAATTTAGACAAAAGGTTCATCTAATTTATTTGTGTCTATTTGCTTTTTTAAATTGCATTAAAATAATTGCTGTTTATCCACTTTTATGCAAACAATTTTTCCCCACAATTTTCCCGCGTTTTAAATGTCCCCTTCATTTGTGTATGCACAAACTTACGCAAATTCGCCTTACAAGTGTTTCAAAAAAAAACCAAATAAATATGTAAAAAAACATAAAAAGCCGCCTTACAACTCGTAACGCTTCTTGCGGTAATAATAATTGCAAAACATTCGTTTACTTATGTAGGGTAATTGCGTACCGGTGCTGCCGGAACGGCCTTGTGGGTCCATACTGCGGCGCTCATTTTGCGCGCCAATCCGCTGCGAGTAGGCGGAAAAGGAGCGCTCCTGGTCGGGCGTCTGTGGCATGGTGGCAGCCTCATGGTCCAAAATATACAACTCATCGATGGCAATGTCGCAAATGTAGTGCAAATGCTCTTGGGCGCGATCGATGCGGAAGTAATGTTCAGCGGTGCAGGCTGCAAGTGAAAANAAATGACACTGAAGATGGCACAACGCCGAAACCGGTTTGTCTGCAAACCAAACTTGACAAGGGATGACGGAAATTCGTTCCAAAATAAATCATCTTACCACCCTGTCGGAAAAATCAACCAACACCAACACAAAAATATAGGATTTTAAAAAAATTGTTTCAAGCTCCGAGCGCAAGTGTAAGCCCTAGATGTGGTGTACTTACAATCGATGAAGCACCAATCTTGCGACACCTTCGGGTATGTGATCGACTCCTCGAATTTGGCATTGAGTATGTTGCGCACTTGTTCCAAATCGCATTGTGACTCGATTTCCATTTTGCCCAGCTTGTTGGCCAATTTCCGCAACATCTCCTTATCGTAGTGGTGTTGCTCGTATTGCTGCATTGTTATTCGTAAAATCGTCAAATGCAATTTCTCCAAAGGATTCACCCTGAAAGCAATGTAAAGGGCATAGTGTAATAATTTGATAATTATAAAATGCGAGTGCGTTGAAACTCAAATGATAACTTTAAAAAGTATATGTATATAGTAATTTACTTTTAACTGAAATATCTTATTTCCTTAACAATTCGATTCGAAATATTGCATCTCAATTTAGTGCAGTGCTGCCTGGGCAGAATCGTAAGACTGACATTTTGTTGCCGCTTATTGACCTACTTCTATCAGATGCAGATTACTGCAATGATAAGTTTGTCTGTAAGCTGAATTTGCTGAGTAATGCTTCAATTGCATGTTTTATGATGGCAAACAAAGGCCGTCTTGCCAGTTGGTTGCCTTAAGCCATGCATTAGGATGCACATTTCGACATCTAATGGTGAAAAACACACACATATGCATACATACATATGTACATGTATACTCTTCCAGAGACAACAACTTATAAACATTACATGCCACCAGAAAATATGAGAACATTCCTTTAGGACAAGCCGAAGCTTTACTCACACTTATTGTTAAAAGTGAAAAGGAAACAGAAAATATATTAAAATTGCTTCGGAGAGTCCACGAGATAAGGATGTTTCCATAAGGAATGTTTCCAATGTATGTGTAAATATTAGGGACGTCCAAAATAAGTAAAATCGTAAATTGAATGCTCGCATCCCCTAAGATTGTTCTATATTAAAAAAAAATATACCTGTTTTTTTTTAAATTGTGAAATCAAAAAAAATTAGAGGTCGCTGAAAGCGCTTAAAGTTTCCCACGTATTTTATATAAACAGAAATAATTTTTTTGCAGAAATGGTATATGTATATGAAACACCATGCAACAGCAAATTTAACACACAAAAAAATGAATATATTCGCGGAAATATAGGTAAATTATAATAAAACTACGTACTTAGTTTTTTCTCTGACGTCAGGATTTTTTTAAATACTTTTCAATTTAAAAAAATACGATTATTTCAAAAAATTGTTGAAAAAATTTAGTGCAATGAAAGATAACAAAAAGGGTATCATATAAAAGAAAACAATTCTTTAGAATTATTTAACCATTTTGTAATGTTAATTATTTTTTACAGTTCCATACAACAAAAACTTGTTAACTTGGCCATTTGAATATTATGCGGGTCAGGTATCAAAAAAAAAAAAATATAATGGTCCAAATGGCCAATGTCTACCAATTTTTTAATGTGTTTTAATGTGCCTTATATAAATCAGCATCTTTTTTACTCCAACATTTAGCTTAAAAATAAAATTACAACATACCCTTTAATAGATATAAACGTAATAATATAAAGTTGTGTGTTTATTTCTTGCACTTACTGTACATCGCCACGACCGTGCTTCCGTTTGGCCAGCATAACCGCCTTATTTAACAAACTCATTTCGATAATCGACGGCTTCACGCGACACGCCTCGCCATCCACCTGCATGGGTATAGTCTTTTNAGGTTACCTTTATTGGAGTCGAACAATGGGTGTGTGTGTCAACTTACCTGCCAATATTAAGAAACAGCACTGCATGGCAGCCGGCATCTCGCAGCTTGCCCGTGTAGTCGGTGCCGTCGCACTCCATCGTAACCCATTGGGAGAGGTTTCGATACTGCCGCAATATCAGATCCTTGCCACCCATTTGACCGTAGTACATTTTATTGCGTAGGCGCGAATTGAAGCGTTCCGGATGGGCTTCGCGTGCCTCATGAAACTCGAGTGCAATGTGTGCATCGACACCGAACGAGTAATAGTTGTTGATCACATTTAACGGTACGTTGTCTTTGCTGCGGT